GTCATTTATTGTATTTTACTTATTTTGTGTAATTAGCTTTTAATTAAATAACGTGTAACTTTTAATTAAATAATTTTATATTAATATTTAATTAAACATCTATATAGAAAATTAAATATTTAAATCACATATTAATATTTGAATAATTTTGCATTTATTTACTTTAAATTCATTTTACATTTATTGTATTTTACTTATTTTGTGTAATTAGCTTTTAATTAAATAACGTGTAACTTTTAATTAAATAATTTTATATTAATATTTAATTAAACATCTATATAGAAAATTAAATATTTAAATCACATATTAATATTTGAATAATTTTGCATTTATTTACTTTAAATTCATTTTACATTTATTGTATTTTACTTATTTTGTGTAATTTACTTTTAATTAAATATTGTGTAACTTTTAATTAAATAATCTTATATTAATAGTTAATTAAACATTTATATATATATATATATATTATCTGTTTGTGTAATTTCCTTTTAATGCATTCATTTTATATTTGTTTTAAGTTAAGTTTAGTAACCTTGATTGATGAATTTATCTGAATTTAATTATTTTATTTGTCATTTGAATAAAAATAACTTTGTCAAATAATTTTAAGTCATTCAGTTTACTTTTAATTAAATAATTTTGCATTTATTGAATTGTAATGTTTAGTAACATTGAGTAATTATATGAATGTATTTCATATAATTAAGTACATAATTACATAATTTAATCATTTTAATAAAGACATGCAGATATATTAATTTCCAGTGTTGGGAAAGTTACTTTTAAAAGTAATGCATTACAATATTGCGTTACTTTCTAAAAAGGTAACTAATTACGTTACTTAGTTACTTTTTATTGAAAGTAATGCGTTACGTTACTTTTGCGTTACTTTTTAAATCTTGGCAAATTTTTGGCAAATATAAAAGTCCTTTCACACCAAAAGCCTCAGGCTGAAGGAAATGTAAATTCACGTCTGTACAGTAGAACGCAGAAGAAGAAAGTTCAACACTCTTCAGTAATAATAAAAAAAGAAATATCTTAGTTTATCTTGTGTAATTTTTGTTTATTAGTACGGTTGAATTGGATCACCGAAGGTCAGCAGTGAATTTGTTAATAAAATGGGATTAAATACATAAAGGATATTTGTATTATTTAACATATTTAATTATTGCAGCCATATTCTGAGTTGCTTTTAACTGTTTTTATTAATTTTGAGGAAAACTAAATCAGATTTTTTTGTGTGTGTGTGAGTGAGTGAGATGAATTAAAGCATGTTCACATTTATTCTAGAACTAAAGTAACATCTTACTCCCGATTTCTCTCAACATGGGGACCGGAGAGCTTTCAATCAATAAATGGGGAAACAAAGTAACTAGCGTTACTTATTTGAAAAAGTAACTCCGATATTTTCTTGTAAATTAAAAAGTAATGGTTACTTTACTAGTTACTTGAAAAAAGTAATCTGATTACGTTACTTGTAATGCGTTCCCCCAACACTGTTCATTTCAGCAAGCATCTACAAAAGAGCCTCTGAATGTGAGCGCAGTCTCAGTTTCGAGCATGTGGTTTCTCAGTTTTGTCTCTCTCTCACAGATATAAACGAGTGTTTCGACCCGGTGAACTGCATCAACGGCGTGTGTGTGAATCTGCCCGGCAGCTACCTGTGCAACTGCCCGCCGGACTTCGAGCTCAACCCGTCGGGCGTGGGCTGTGTCGGTACTGAAACCGTCCCGCCGCATGATTTCACCCGAATCACGGCGCAGTTAATCTAATGTCTGTTCTGTGGCAGACACTCGTGTGGGGAACTGCTTCCTGGACACTCTGGACCGCGGTGACGGAGGCATCTCCTGCAGCGCTGAGATCGGGGTGGGAGTGACCCGCGCCTCCTGCTGCTGCTCGCTGGGGGGAGCCTGGGGAAACCCCTGCGAACTCTGCCCGCCCATCAACTCCAGTACAGACACACCAGAGCATCACACAGTGCTAGTAGTCAAACCATACTCTACCGCTCAAACGTTTGGGATCAGAACCATTTGTAATGTTTCACAGGAGTCTCTTCTGCTCATCAAGACTGCATTTATTTGATCAAAAATACAGGAAAAATGTAAAATAACGTTTTTCTATTTTAATATACATTAAAATCGAATTTATTCCTGTGATGCAGCGCTGAATTACTCCAGTCTTCAGTGTCACATGATCTTCAGAAATCATTCTAATATGCTGAGTTATTATAGAAGTTTGCTAAGTTTGGAACCTGTGATACTTTTTTCAGGATTCTTTGATGAATAGAATGTTAAAAAGAACAGCATTTATTTAAAATAGAAATCTTCTCTAACAATAAAGTTTGGGGTCAGTAAATTTGTATTCTTTCTTTTTTTGAAAGAAATGAAAACTCAGCGAGGATGTGTTAAATTGATAAGAAGTGACAGAATTGTTAGAAAAGATTTATATTTTGAATAAACGCTGTTCTTTTTGACTTTTTATTCATCAGAGAATCCTGAAAAAAGTATGTTTCCAAAAAAAATATTTGGCAGCACAACTGTTGATAATTCTAATAATAAATCAGCATATTAAGATGATTTCTGAAGATCATGTGACACTGAAGTCTGGAGTAATGATGATGGAAATTCAGCTTTGCATCACAGAAATAAATTATATTTTAAAGGATATTAAAATAGAAAGCATTATTTTATATTGTAATAACATTTTGCAAGATTACTGTTTTTTTCTGTATTTTTGATCAAATAAATGCAGCCTTGATGAGCAGAAGAGACGTCTTTAAAAAACATTACAAGTCTCACTGATCCCAAACTTTTGAACAGTAGTGTATGTTTTTTTTTTTCAATGGCCAATAATTAATTTAGAAAGCAGGATAAATAATAGCAAATATAATGATTATATATAAACATGTATGTAAAGAATATGCTACAATTTTATTCAGTTGCTGAAATAAAATTAGTTTACGCAGTATTAGCTTCAATTTCACTTACAAATATTTAAAAATAAGCAGCAGCTGATTCGGATAATTTGTGAAATATTAATTATATTTTTAATATGTCTATCTCTACTGAGCTATACGTATAAAACAGCTTATAAAAATGAATTCATAGAATGAAACGATGTTAATAAACATTAAAATCAAATAATGTAAAATTATTTAAAAGCAAATTGCTAATTTTAATGATTTTCTGTTACAATGACACAAAATAAATAATTTGTGAAACATAAGGTCTTAAAATAAATCAAAGATGTTATTTTATGTATAAATTACATAAAATTATACAAATATGTAATATAAATATAAAATAATTAATAAATAATAGCTCAGTGGAATTTGTATTTATATTTAAATTATATAAAATGATATATA